CTTCACCAACGGCACCCAGTCCCAGGTAACATTTACCATTTTTTTCCCAGGTCACCTGGTGTAGCTGCCTCTGCTATTCCTTCCCCAGTCTGTGCAGTATCCCTGGTAAACAAGATAAACCTGTCAGGTCTCCTGTCCCTGTAGCCAGAGGTACTTTAGCAATGAAATTGTTTTGCTGAATAAATAAATGGCTCTCGCTGAATCTGAGGATGCTGTGACCTTTCATTGGTGACCTGGGTGACTCATCCCTTTGGTGCCTCCACTGCAGCCTCCCACCACGCCACAAAAGAGGCACCACCAAGTCCTGCTGCTCGGGGCCGAGACCTGTGGGAGCCACCTGCTCACACTGCTTCTCCTCTGGCTTTGCACATGGTCTCCACACCTCTGCCTGGGGCTGGGGGCTCTTGGCTTGTGGAGAGGCCCTGTTTGCATGGCATGGACCCTGCGGTGCAGCATCCCAGGACTGGCTGGGTGTTTGACCCTTTGCACCATCTCAGTCCTGCAATGACGTCCCTGGCCCTTGTCCAAGCATCAGCTCCTGCTCCCCCAGGTGCTGGAAATCTCTGTCAGAGACAAATGCACAAGTCCATGTTGCCAACCCATGCTTGTGTAGCAAACAGGGCTTTATTGGCCATACCAGCCCCTCTGAAGTGAGGTGGGCAGCTCAGTTAGGGGCAGTTCACAGCCAGAGGCCATTTATCACACACCGTGAACTCTGCGCACCAGTGGGGTCAAATCCTCCTGCTCCAGCTGACACCGTGTACCTCTGCAGCCAGCAGCTCTTAAACCAGACCTGGCAAGCACCCTGCTGGACCCAGGGATTCTCTGTGGCTCCTCACTCAGTCCCCACCGCCTCTTACCCCCTTGCTTTGCCAGGTGCCTCTGGAAACACAAGGACCCTAGAACCACGGCGTGTTTAGTCTCTTCTTAGAAATCCGTGCAAAGTGAAGTAGAGAATTAAACACAGCTGAGTCCTATACATTTAGCTGCTGCTGATAGAGATATTTTCTTCTTGGAGAGTGTTTTGCATGCCAAGAAAAACAGTTTTGCATTTTAGGGAGAGAAAATGGTTGTACATCTGTGCATCTGTGCCTGTTAATTCTGCCTGAACAGCTTCCCAGGGCTGTCAGCTCAAAAGTTCTCTTTAATGTAAGAAATCTTGACTGTGTTTGCAACAGATCCTCAACCAA